CTATGTTTGCAGTCTTTATATCCCCAAAGTGTGACATTTTAGTTCTTAATTTAAACAATACTCGTTTCCACTTTTCTGCCTGCCGTTTTGACATGATGCTCCATTTTCCATTAAACTTAAAATGAAAACCTAGATATTTATATTCTTTAACGATTTCAAGCTTAACCGTATCAATATACAATTTATCATCTCTCCCTAACATGTCTCCATTTCGAAACACCATAGCTTTAGTTTTTAATTTATTTATCTCTAGTTTGTTAATATCACAGTATTGTTTAAGGCAATTTAATTGTTTCTGTAACCGGTTCTGGAGCACGAAAACAAAACTAAATCTTCTGCAAATAAAATGATGTGATATAATATTATTATCAATTGAACAATAATTAAGATTTTCTTTTAGTAAGTTTTTTTCCAAATCATGTAGGAATAGAATAAAAAGAATAGGAGAGAGAAGACAACCTTGCTTTAAACCTCTGTGACAATCGATGTTATTTGTCAAGCCATGGAGTGTTTTTATTTTAATGTGTGTTTGTGTACATAGATTGTATTAATTTAACAACATTTAGAGGAATATTCAAATCATATAATTTACAAAATAAAATTGATCTGTCTATGAAATCAAAAGCATATTTAAAGTCAATAAACGCGCAAAACAATTTACCCCTCTTTTTCTGTAATGCTTTTTAAACTAATGTTTCAAGTATAAATGCATTATCAGTAGTGCTATATAATTTTTTTTTCTAAAACCCGCTTGTTCCTCTGATATCATTTATTTAATTTCTACCCATTCTCTTATCCTATTTTCAATTATTTTAACAAAAACTTTACTAAATATAGAAAATAATGTAATAGGGCGACAATTCATTGGATTGTCTGGATCGTTTGCTTTATGTGTGTACAAATATTCCCTGTGACAAACTTTTTGGATATTCACTTGTTTTCAGAATTATTAAATACAGTTGAGATATATTCTAATATAAATTTTGGGATAAGTTCTAAAATATTTGAAGTATAGAATCTATTCCTGGTGATTTATTACTTTTAGGCTGTTTAATACTTACTTCGTCTTGGGTTATGTAATTTTTTAATCGTTTACTTTCGTCATCATATGTTTTATCTGTTGTGTCCTTTTGTCTAGTTTTATAGATGTACTCGGTGTTTGGTTGATTAAATACTGTTTCAAAGTGTTTTATCCATTGTGTACAAGTAATATTTATTTGTATCCCTTTTTTATTTTTAAAAGTATTCCAGAAATCCTTTCCATTTCTATGTAAAATTACAGTAGCCTTCTTTTCTTGTTGTTTATCATTTTGTCTCCTTATCAAATCTTTGTACTCTGTTACATTTTATAAGCCTAGGCCTATACATTGAATTTTATATCGTTTCAATATTTTCTAAATGATCTCAATGTCTGTCGCATTCGTGTACGTAACTCGTAACATTCGTTGTCGAACCATTGGTTTTTATGTTTATACTATCATGGCATGACATTCAATCCGATTTTCTTTTCCCTAAACTATATATTGCTTCAGAAAGTTTACTAATTGAAGTTTCACAATCAGCTGTTTCTATACTTTTGTGTATGTCATCTATTTGTTTACGGTATATATTCCTCTATTTTTAACTATGTCTTCGTCTATTTATATATTTTCATCCCAAACATATTTAGTGTATGCTTGACGTATTTCATATGTTGTTTTATTTTCTATATTATTATTAGTATTATTAATACCAAGCTTTATACTAAATTCTATTGCTAGATGATCAGATTCACACATATCCATAGTATTAAAATTATTGAAAAAGTTATTAAATAGTAAGTATTCACTTGCAATTACGTAATCAATTACACTTTTTTCCTAGATGGCCAAAAAATGTTTAAAAAAAACACCAATTCCTTCATTATTCCCAATCCTGGCATTTAAAATTCGCAATTTATAATTTTTACAGAAATCAGTAAGTTTTTTTCCCATATGAGTTTATAAATTTATCCATTGAAATTCGTTTACGAGTACCGGTATAAGGTCTGGTGAATCATTAATATCTATATTTTCAGATTCTGGATTATTATTAAAGTCATCTAGCTCATCAGTCCTAGAGTTTAATATAAAATAACTTTCACCATAATTGCGTTCAATTTCAAGTAGGGCCTATATCTATTTCTAATTGTTGGTAGGCCTAGGCCTATGTCAAATTCAAACCTTGACCCTGTAGGTGGTGCATAAACAAACGCTAAAAATATATACATCCCTTTATATTTCTCATTAAATTTGAACCAGATAATGATTAAATTTTCTATTAATTTCTGTTACAGTTATGTTGTTTTTTATTAATAGAGTCCCCCCTCCCCCCCGAAAAAAATTGTTGTTTCCCTTCCTTATCATATTATACTTCTAACCACTAAACTTTGGTAATTCATTCTCATTAATTAACCATGTTTCATATAAAAATATAATATCATGTTCTTTTAGTAACTAACAAAAAATTCATTTGATAATTTATTAGTTCCTTTGTGACCTTCGGTCACAGAGGGACTATTGGAATGATACAGGTGTGAAATGTGTGTATGAGATGTATGGCAACAACCTGTCTGTATGTCTGTAAACAAATAGGCTCCTAAACGGTGCCTCGCGGGGGGTACACATTGTGCCAACAGGTACTGGTGGACATGTAATTGTGTGAGAAATGTTTGTATTTTCGGTTAGATAGAAAATGTAAGCTGTACGCGATAAAACATATACCCCCTACCACCAGTTTTGAGTCGTTTTTTAGTTCAAATTTTGATTTGCACATGCGTCGGGAAAAAGTTTTCCGACATTTTGTTTTCATGGCGATAAAACATCAGTAGTAGGCATTATATAGCACAATAGGCCTATACCTCCATGTTCAAACTAATTACAAGTTTTTTAAATCACTATGTTTTCTCAATCGTATGTGCTATTCAAATATGAGTATGATTTAAATGTAATAGCCTACAAAATTAGGACAAAAACCCATACAAGTCGGCAGTTTTTTCTTTCGCAATGCTAGCCGACATCTTATAGCTAGGCCTAAGCAGGCTGCGACGGTCATATCATCAGATAGAGAGAACGCAATGGGCCTTTCCTAGTTAGGCTGACTTAGGCCTATATGGTTAATTTGTCAATAATAAAGTATATATACTGTCTCTTATACACATCTAGATGTGTATAAGAGACAGGTATATATGTGTATATGTATATATATGTATATGTATATATATGTATATGTATATATGTATGTATATATATGTATGTGTATATATGTATATAAGAGGTCGCAGGTTCGAATCCCGTCGGAAGTATATTATTACTAAATTTTTATGATTTTTCATAGGACTTTATTCGTCGAAAAGCTACAGGGTAGCCTACGATGTTCCATCATGTCCTTATTAGACACTGTATATGTACCTTTGATGATTTATATTATATTTATTCAACAGTGTTAACGGCTGACTTCCTTCAATATCATATATAATATACGACAGTATTTCTAGCCGTATTTCCAGATTTATCTGGCCGAACGCCCTCTTGAGGCATAGCATTGTGTAATACAATGTTCCCGACGGGTATTTGGACCTGTTCAACCATGAAGCCTTCGTGGCCTAGTGGTTATGACGCTCGCCTATCAGCGAGAGGTCGCAGGTTCGAATCCCGTCGGGGGAATTTTATTACACAATGATTTTTCATAGGACTTTATTCGCTGAAAAGCTACAGGGCAGCCTACGATGTTCCATCATGTCCTTATTAGACACTGTATATGTACCTTTGATGATTTATATTATATTTATTAAACAGTGTTAACGGCTGACTTCCTTCAATATCATATATATATATATATAGTATTTCTAGCCGTATATATATATATATATATATATATATATATATACTTGTTTAGCGTGACCGCTCGACCCTGATTTTTGGCCTGCTTCTGATTTTTCATATGCCAAAAAAACGTCTAATTCGACCCGCAAATGCCGAAAAATGACCGAAAAAAACGATCGTTTTCGTATTTTTTTTTAATTTTTCAATCATAAAGCGCGCCACCAACGTTATATTGCCATAGGCAAAATCATCTGCGACAGTCGGTAAAAATGCTGTTTTGCTACTTCAAATCGGTAGCAAAGGTCTACGAAAGTTAATAAGAGATAGAAATGGACGGGAGTCTTTCCGTATAAAAAAAGTGCATATTGAGCAAAATGTTTCGTTATCTGACGTTTTGAGGCGTTTTTCAAACAGGCAAATCCAGGCCTTAGGTAGACTTCGGCCGCCGACAACATCGGCCGCCGCCAATCAAGTGCCAAAAAATATGAAGCGCCTTTAGCACTGTCTGTTTGCTTCCAACCAATGAGTGTTCGCTGTGTTCAGTGTTTTATGCCAATTATATTCATTGTGTTAATTGTTTTTAGCTTTCGAGTATTAGTTCGTTTGAACCGACGTTCAGTCGACGAACATATAGGCTGTACTGTAGGCCCTCTTTATGTACGGTATGTAATAAAAGTGATGAAAAAGACTATGTTTTTTTTTAAAACATTAATTGCGTCATATTTGTATATCCTACTTTACGTTTATGATTGTGATATCGATTTTAATATTGTCTGTTAAACAGTAATTTGAGTTTGTTTAGGGTTGAGATTAAATTGTTTGCATGATGTACACAATTAAAATATGAACGAACAGATAGGTACCGGTAAATGAAGAACTATGCTCGAAACCTTGTATTATTTCGAATTAATTGGCAATATCGTGCTTTACAATATTTTTTAGTTATTTATCTGTTCATACATTGCCTATGCAGCTAACTCTCGGTTTATTTGGATATTTAAAATGTAAACGAACAGAAGTAAAATACAACAGGAAATATTCATTAAATGTAATTAATTGCGCTATCTTGTATCCTACTATACCTTTAATTATTATTATTAAGCCTATTATTATTATCATTATTATTATTATTATTATTATTATTATTATTATTATTATTATTATTATGTTAACATAATATTAAAACATAACACATTGTACATATTTGTGTATCCTACTTTACGTATATGATAACATTATGTGATAATCAAGAACATCACATAAGCATATTAATGTTATTTTATAATTGTGATATTGATCAATAATCATCAGGCCTAACTGTAATTTTAGTTTCAGGGTTGTATTGTTTGTATAAGGTACATCATTAAAATATGAACGAATTTTACTTTAATTAAGTGTATTTTATATTTGGGCGTTGTTGTTTTTGTTTTGAAATAATTAAAAAATAAACGAATCAGTAAAGACCGGATTACATAGGCCTACGTTTTACCTATAAGGTACTGGAAGCAACTTCAATCCGTGGAAAGGTAAGTCAAGATTAACTTTATTTTCTACTAGAAATTATTCTTAGTAATACAGTGAAAGGTCTTAGTAATACAGTTCTTAGTAGGCCTAATACATTAAAATCGTTGTTGGTAGTACATTAAAATCGTTGTTGGTACACAGCATGATGTTATTCTTATATGCGTATTAACATTTAAATTTTTTCCCAGGACACACTGGTGGATAGTTTAGGCTATGAGTACACCAAAAAAAGTCGACAGGCTAGGCGAAGACCAGCCGTTACTTGGAGGTGTTCACTGCGAAACAAGAACGTGACGTGTCGAGCGACTGTTATGGAGAGAAATGGGGGTTATGTTCGAGGAAGACAAGATCACATTTGTGATATGATTCCAGGTATTAATGTTTTAACGATTACTTTTTATTCATCCATTTTATTTTAATATGAGTCCCCGCATCTCCATACAATGACACTTGGTCCGAATTACGTCGTTAACAATGTGAAAACATATAATTTTGTTCTTATCCCAAATTGTTCATTGCCATCACTTTACATCTTAGCTTAATTAGAAGACTTCTTCCCCTCAATATTTTTTTTTAATATAGTGCAAACACTCAACATTTTCAGGTCGTGAAAAGGTGGCAATAATTCGTAGAGATCTGAAGGCACAGGCAGTAGAGAAACCCTTGGACCCGGCAGCTGAGATGGTAGAATTGTAAGACTGCCGCCGTTTAAAGATGTACGGTATCGTTTCCTCATGGAAATGACAAAAAGATCATAAAAATAATTTTGAAATCAACTTGCTCATTGTATTATAATTTAATTAGATACTAAGAGATTAAATATAGCACTACATTCATCGCTACCAAAACCGGCAAACCTTGCTTGCCAGACAAACCACAAAAGGAAATTGACAAGACCCAACCAGCCAAGGACCTCGACTTTGAACTAGACGACGACCACATCGCTCCCGGGTTCCTCAGAGCAGACGTTAGTGTTGATGAACTCGGACATATTTTGTTTGCAACTGGCGACATGCTGCATCTTTTGGAGAGAGCAAGAGTGTGGTAAGTGTATGTATAAACGATATACTGCACAGTATATATACTGTCTCTTATACACATCTATAGTATTATTATCTGTCTCTTATACACATCTAGATGTGTATAAGAGACAGGTATAGGCCTATGTGTGTATATATAGGCCTATATATATGTATGTATACTGTATATGTATATGTATATATATGTTTATGTATGTGTGTGTATATATATATGTATATATATATGCAAGTACAGTATGTATACCGTATGTATGTTAAAATAACATTTTATTAAATTTCTTCACAGGTACCTTGACGGCACATTTAAACTTGTGAAGGAGCCGTTTTACCAGCTTTTCTCAATACACAGCTTCATAAAATCTGGTACAGCACAGAAGCAGGTGCCGCTCTTGTTCTGCATGTCAGGCAAAAGGAAACGTGCTCGGTGACAATTGGTGTAGGCTTAGGCCTAGGCAGGATCGTTTAGGCCTCCCCGAACAAATTCGACCGCGATGTAGGCCTATGGGACACTTTGTGTTTATTGTATGTTCTCAGTCAATTCGATTCATTGAATGATTACTAAATATCCTATTCTGATAATTATATGATAAATATGCGTATTGACTTAAAAATTATATAAAGACTGTGGGGAGGGAAGACTATTCTACACTAGGACCTACTTACTATGTGGTTTAAAATAAATTGAAATTTTTCTTCTCAAAACAAAAAAATCACCCCCCCCCCAAAAAAAAATTGAATAGGCCTACTGTACCATGACTGTACATAGTCTAGGCCTACTTACACTATTATTTTGCCGTTAAGAAACAGGTCTCTTAACTTCACAATCTACAATCATTGACAAATATACATTAGGCCTAAACAAGTTTATTTTGTAGTTTATTTTGCTTTGGTGTATTGTGCTTAACTTTTTGTTTTTTATCTATGTTAAATTTGTGATTAAGTAATTCATTTAAAGACTTCTTGTCATATTTCAGTTAAAACAAGTTTTATTTGGATGCGCGCAGAAAGAATGTTGATATGCGGAAAAGTAAAATTAACCCCCCACCCTTCACCCAAAAAAAAAAATGAATAGGCTTACTGTACCATGACTGTACATAGTCTAAATTTGTGTTTAGTTTTTGCGTACAAAGGAATGTACACACCCGCAGGGTTCTGGTTTACTAAACCATTAATGTTCCATGTTTCAATCTTAACTTGTTTGATAATTTTTGGGCGTTGACCTATTTCCTATTTAAGCTGTACAATTTTCTCGTTTACAGTATGATACGTAAAAATATCATTTCCTAAATAAAAACATAAAAAGTAACACAAAGGTCAAATTATTTCCATATTTCCATTGTGGTCCTTTAAAAAATTAATTTCTTCTAAATATGATTTCATAACAACTAAAATATTTGAAGATACAAAAAAAAAAAAACACTTTCATCTTATTAAAAAAATTCATATCATAATATAAAATTCCAAGGATAAAAACACAAAAAGTAACACAAAGGTCAACTTATTTCCATTTCAAAATACAAAAAAGCTCAAAATTTCTAAGAAAAACCACTACAACTATTACTGTAAATATTTCCTCTAAGCATTTTTTAAGATGATCTTTTAATTTTCTTTTAATTTAGTATTATTGTATGTAATACATGTTTTCGAAATTATACATACATGTTTTCGATATTTGTGTATTATTTATGTGCGAAACATAAAGTGTTTTTGACTTAATTAAGTCAAAAGGAAACAATTATCTGTTCTCTTGTCTTGAAACAAAAAATTGTTTTAACAATCCGTTTCTAATATCCTACAACAGCAAGAACTGCAAGGTATACCTACCTTCCAAGATAAAAAAAAATATATGAGCACAGCACACAAACCAAGAAATTTATGTTTTCTAGATGGTCGGAAATGCACTGTACTGTATTCTAAGAAGGTTGTTAATAACATTGGATTTTTCCAAAATTAAGGCTTCCGCATTAGTAGCATGATGACAACGATACGATGATGATGACGATGAGTGATGATAACGATGACTATGAAGACTGTGATGCCTGATGATGATGATGACGTCGACAGGGACGAGGAGGTAAAAATATAATAAACGTAAGATATGTTTTTTGTATAATCCAGATACCTAAAGAGGCTCCAGGTAAAGCAGGGGTTGTATACAGTAAGTGCAACAAACCCAAACACTTAGCTATTGCAATCAGCGTCGGGATGAGTAGGAAACAAGCAATAAAAGTGATGTCAACATTAGCATCTTATAGAATAAAGATCCCAGTCACTGTCTTTGTGTACAGTGAGTTTGCTGAAGAATGGCCCGATCTTGTCAAATCATGGGCAACAGTTTATGACATTGCACTACGTGGAAATCATCCATACCCAACCGGTCATTTTGAAATGATGGCTACCAATTGGATTCGAGAAACTGTAGTTAGTTCAGAAATGCGTCTTCGTGAACTCGGCATAAACCCAATATTCTACTCGCCTAATGAATATGGCGGAAACGTGAAGCAGCAACTTGAACATCGGGGATTCAGAATCGTCAAAGCAGCTGTGAACTTCCCGCCTGAAGCAAGTGAGTAGTTGGTTTAATCATTCTTTGTCAATTATTAATTATTCGCTTAAACAATTGAAATACCAGCACACATACATTAATACCAATGATGCCTTTAGCATCTAGTACGGTAAATCATAGGAAATATTACTGTATTCAAATTATGTTTTTGCTGCTTAGCAATGAGAAAATAAATAATGTATCATAATACTGTACTGTATTTTCTATTGATTTATACATTACTTGCATTCTCAGTGCAAAACCCGATCGCAGGCAGTGCCCCTTTTTTGCACGCGTGCCCGTTTTGCAAACTGCAGGCAGTAGACGCGGGCAAAACTTTCTTTGACTTTTTCGGCATGCTGTATTGTACAGACCGCGGGTACTGTGGGCGAACTGCATTTATAACATCACGTTCCAGGCCCGTAGCCAGGGGGGGTTTTATGGTTCGTGCGAACCCCCTCAAATTTTTGAATGAGTTTCACTCGGACGGAATGTCTGTTTTTAACTTACCCAGCATTAAATCAAAATTTAGCACCTAATTCATTATTTGCTCACCCGTTTTTAAGTTATAGCCTGCGATACAAGCCTACATTCATAGAATATCTCAGCTTCAGAAGTTCGGAAATTTAAATTGAACGCGACTCCGGCAAACCATGACTTTATGATAGCTCACATAAGGATGGAAATATTATTCCCTGTGATTTACCAGCTGCTACCTACAAGCTAATACGTAGCTAAGTGTGAGCCCTCAAATTGTATGAAGGGAAAATACTATAGTGATGATCGGTAATGACATCGCACAGGCTTATGTGCTCTAAATGGTATGACGATTTCGGGTTCGATTCTCACCTCTTTTTTCATACAAATAAGGAACTTTCGTTGATGAACTATGTTTGATACGATTTATACCTTCATGTTCCTATATATTTCAGGTCCGTACGCAGGATTTTTATTGGGTGGGTGGGAATTTGTAGAGTGAACCAAAATGGCTTCGGGGAGGGGGAGGGGCGGCGCTTAAGTAAAACTCCTGCTGGGGCTGAGGGAAGAAAATTTATGATTATGGTACCACCAAATATAAATTTCTTTTCTTTTAAAAAAAAATGGACAATTTTTTTTTGGGGGGGGGGGACCACTACTGGGAATAGTGCAGCACAGTGTAGAAGCACATATACATTTAGGGAAAATGACATATTCCTTCATCGCTGCTGCTGCTGTGGATGGACGTTGATTAGATGATCCAGAGAGCTTCCTTAACAATCGCACAATAATCTGATATATTTGTCTAGACAACCAATGATTATTCTGTATTGTTTTTGACGTTTCTTTGTGTACTATATATTTCATCCTCTGATATTCACCATGGTGAATGGTACAAAGGTCTAAATCTGCAGTATCAAGATGATTACCAAGGGGCCGTATGCGGGTCTTTAGGGGGTGGGGTGTATGCGGGTCATTAGGACCTTAGTGGAGTAACGTCACGACCCCGCAATACATATAGTTTGATTAGGGTTAGGGTATGCAGGTGACTAGTACCTTAGTGGAGTGACGTCCCTACTCCGGGATGCATAGTTCGTTTAGGGTTGGGTATGCGGGTCATTAGGACCTTAGTGGAGTAATGGCCCTACTCCTTGATGCATAGCTTGATTAGGATTGGGATATGAGGATCATTTGGACCTTAGTGGAGTAACGTCCCTACCCCTTGATGCATAGTTACCATTAAGATTGCAGTGATC